GGCAAAAAGTCAAGTTAGTTTTATTTGTTTTGCAACAGCCTAACTTGTGACTATTAGCTCTAACATGAGGATGTGGAGGGTTGGAGAATTCAGGACACAATCTCAATAATGCCTCTCTCCCTTGCCAGAGATCTCCCCAGGAAGTTTGTTGTGAATGTGCTTCTTAGCTGAGTCTTTACTAATCTTGTCATAGGTGGAAACTTTTGCAGAAAAAGACAGTGAAGCCATCTACTTTTCCCTCCAGGAAACTTCATGTATCTTTCCAGAATTCTCTTTGTCTGCCCTAGTGAAACAACTTCCAGAAGCAAGTGGGGCTGGAGCTTACAGTATATCCCACTGATACCTTGGTAGCTGACTTTGGGAGCTACAGGGTCTAGGGCAGTGGAGAGTGACTTGTCTTTTATAAAAATCTTTCTTTCATCTTATCTAACTGTTGAACCTAGAGTTTTGTTTCCTTTTTCTCCTTCCTTCCCAGTTACATATTTAGTTAAAATATGATAGTTACAAGAAGGGAAAGTCTCCCTGACTATTCAGTATCACTTCTAGGCACACACTTACTTTGTTTTACAGATTGTATTTATGCTTAGAGGAGTTTTCCATCCAACCAGGCAAACCTTTTTCATCTAAATTTTGCTAACTTGGGTTGTGTGGTCGTTTGCATACAGTATGCATAGAGGGATAATTCAGGGTCAGGGGAAGGAGAGAAGAAGAGATATGTGGAGTGCGATGGAATATGCTGTGTGGGTGGTATGCTCCTTTTTCACCCCAAGCATGACCTGATGACCCTCCACAGGAACTCATGAAGAGCAGCGGCCCACACTAGCCATACCCCAGGCCTTCCACCCGGCTTAAACCTGAAGAGTTCCTGCACGCAGCTCTTTTAGTGTCCAGGGGCTCACTTCTGCCATGACTCAGAGACGGTCTCAGGGGCTGGTGCATCTCTACACATGAGCCCTGGGAAGCTGACTATCTGTAGCACCACCCTGAGCAGTGGATTCTGGCATGGCTAAAAATGTGCTTTTTTCATAGTGCCATTCTTAGGAATTCAGGACTACAGAAATATTGACCATTTCTGCCCCTCATTTACTTCCTTCCCTTTACATATTAGCTCACTTTTTGTCAGGATCTTAGTCAACAATCTGTGCAGTATTTGAAAGTGGTGGCTGTAATTGCTTCAGTATATATTTTACAGTAAGGACTTCTCACAAATTTGGATAAGGCCTTCCTCCCTTTCCTTTTGTTTCCAAATTAGTGAGTTTTTAAAAACACCCACTGATTACTTCTAGTACACTCAGTGTTCCCTGGATATCAATTCATTGTTCTGTCTTGTGAAGGAGGGGCAAAATTTGTTACCCCCAATTCACCGAGGGAAAATTGTCATATGGAGCAGGTAAGTGATATCGTGGGGTCCTGAGAGTCAACAAGGGGCAGCCAAGGCTTCCGACTTGAACTTCATTGTTTTTTTGTGGGAAAATCTTATCCCCAGGTGACAGTGACCTTTAGGAGCATTTGTCTAATTCTGTGTTGGATGTGTCACCTGTGTGGCAAGTGACATAGTCATGGTGAAAAGCAGATAGGCCTTTTTATAATGCCCCAAATGCTAGGCCTAGGGATTACAGTGCCAGGTTTGAAGTTTTTAACAACTGTGAGTAACTCTGTCCCTCCTGGTCACAGATCTCCCCTGATGGAGGTGTTATAACTGCTATTAAGTGATTGGCCCTTTTCCTCTGGAGGGAGCTGCACTTTGGATACCCAGCTGTCCATCGCTTCTTTTTATTGGTAGATCTATATGCCCTAAGGGTGTTCATCTAACAAGGGAAGGACTAGGAGTAGGATTTAAAGCTGGACCTAATGGAGCCCGGGGGGGGGGGGGGGGGGGGGAGGGGCAGGTATAATCCTGAGTCAGTCATAATTATTTGCCTCAAAACAGATACTGAGGGATCTAGCTGTATAGGGTAAGGGCCTCAACGGACACACAGCTGCCTGTGAATGGAACCTGGGACATTTTTCCAGAGGATGCAAATAATTGCCAATCTGTCCCCCAGTCATTTCTCAAGGTCAAAGAGCCTCAGGTTCCTACTAAACATATGGGGTCCAGATTCTATTTTGAGTCTTCTCTGAGAAAACTGATCTCCAGAGTGTCTATTCCATATTGAAAAACTCTCACTAGGTAACTGCAAGGCAGGTTGAGAGGGTGGGATGGAAACCACCCACCTCCCTTTCTTCCCAGTCTCCCTGCTGCTAGAGGAATCTTTCAGGGAGTGGCAACACTCGGCAGGCTCCAGACTTGGCAGCCAACTCATTACTCCTTACGATACCCCTGGAGGTAGGTTGGTGGCGAATACCATCTCGAGTTTGTAGACAGAAAACCAAGATACAGAGAAGTTAAGGGATGAAAATAACACAGCTACTAAATGGCAGAAATAGAAAAAAAAGTGTCCTGGTCCCTTGATGCCCGTGTCTATTTATCCCCAGGTAGTCTTCCTTTTTTATTGGGAAGACTAAGAGGGAAAATGGCAACTTCCATGGTGGCGGGGTAGGTACAGACAGTGAGGCAGGATGCTGCTCCATCCGAGGAGATACACGCACTCACAGGCTTCTGTCCTCGCCGAGACAAGGAGACCAGCAGCCTTCCCCTAGGCCCCTGCAACCACTTCCAAACAGCACCAAGCCGCTTTCGTCCAGAGCAGGGTGCCCTTCTCTTTTCTTTTTCTCTTTCGGATTAGGTCCTAGTTGCGACAGACACTCCGTTCTGGTGACGATCAAGCTCTTCTCAGGCTCTGAGTTTATATCTTCTTAAAATGAGTCTTTGGGAATAAAACTGTAGGAGTAACAGTGTGGCCATTGGGATGAGGCCCGTGACACAGTCTCTCAGGTTCTCAGGCCCGGGACCGTGCTACTCGTCTCCCCAGATGGGAGGTCTGGGTGGAACAGTGTTGCTGTCAAGGGGCAGATTCAAGCCATAGCCAGAAAGTCACATGTCTTTGAGTTAAATATACCTCTTCTATTCAACTATCCACTGCCTGATATGTTCTTTCATTGAAAGTTGGTCATTTTGGATTGACCTAGGTAAAATATATTTTAGGCTGTCTTTTAAAATGTGAAATTTCCCGGAGTAATGATCAAACAATCATACCTTAGGATGAATTGAATTTTTAGACCACTTTGTTTTAGAATGGGGCGCTAAGGAATGGGAATGTTGTCACATGGGGAGGAATAGTTTTGGAGGAGGCTTTGCTCTGGAAAAGCATATCTAGAATGAATATCGTAAAAGGAAGGTGATAACCAGAGAGGGCAGCACAAGGGATTTGCATGCTTTGGGATGATGCTGGCTGGGGGAAAGATAGCATTAAGGCAGTTTTCTGGGTACTTCTTTTGGGTTCCCTGGTGGTCCCTTGTCCAGATCTCTGCCATGTCATCTTGGTATCTATCCCTCCTTCTATAGCCTTGGCACTTCAGCCCATGAAGCATAGCTTTGGTTTAGATCAACCATCTTGGCTATCACTTTGTCCCTCAGCTCTGGGACTTTATTGGCTCCAGGTAAAAATTGCTCCCTGTGTGAAATGTGTACTTGTACTTGAGGATTTCCCTGGACTGGACTCTATGTTTGAGGAGTATTGGTTGTGAGGGTAAAGGGTCAGAGAACTTCGAGTTCCCTCTTGTTCCCTTTAGTCTCTGTCCCTTCCAGGGATGAGGCCTGGTCTGGGACTAGACTTTGGGATTCTGGCTGTTTGAGCTCCCACTTTATGAGAGGCTCTCCTTAGTACCACTGTGATGGTCCTTTTTGTCCACATCTTGTGTCTCAGCAAGGCCTGAGAGCTGACTCTCCTCAAGACAGGCCAGTGGGCAGGTCATCTGCTGGCTCAGACTGGCTTGCTCCCAGCCCCTGATGAAAGGGGATGTGGATTTCAGGGTGAGCACTGATATTGGAAGAGGAGAGGAAAGAAGGGGATCTTCTTTCTTCAGGGAAGAAAACTGTGACCAGACCTCGAGGCCCTTTCAATTAAGGGAGAGGGTGGGAGTCTTGCTCCCGTTCTCTGATGGTGCCCAGGGCAGAATCCCCACCAATTCAAGGGATATAATTGAATTAGAACCCAGGGGCTACAGTGACCCCAAAGAAAGGTCAGTGAGAATACTGGGTATCTCCTGGACTGATGATTTTAACCAAACACTCCAACATGGTGAAATGAGATTTGGGACCCATAGACACAAGTTGAGACCATAAATAATATGATCAATTCCACAGGAAAGCTGGGCTCACTAGTGTAGGCTGACATTGCCAATCGGTGCCTCATAGGTTAAATTTGGCTTGCACACATTTTGTTTGGCCCACATGGCATCTTTAAAATTTGGTTGGCAATATTAAAAATTTCACTGAAAACTTTGGACTTCTGGCTTCTCTGGAAAAATCAGATGGTCAGGTACCACTGCCCAGTAATCAGGGCCTGGTCCTGAGCAGCAGCCGCCCTCTGCCCCCCAATCTTCACAATCCTAGACGTCCCATGGCATTAGAACAGGCCCACCCCACTGGTTGGAAGCACCTGCCTGCATCCTGTAGGATCTGAGCGTGGGCCCCCTGATACATGGTCATGTGGTGTCTGCTGGGGAAGTGCTGGGGTAATGAAAATCTGGCTGAGCTAGTGAGCTTGAGTCATGACTGGCAAAAAGCTACGAGGCAACCACAGTTCTGATTGGAGGGATTTCTATGGAGAAATGGGGATGAAAGCAGAGCTCCCCATTGTAGTTGGGGCAGAGGGGCAGGGCAGTCATTCGAGACTGGGAACTTCGATGGGACAATGGGTTTATCTTGGTGGCCCTTTCATACGGGAAATGTGGTTTCCTAGTTGTACAGCAAGTACTGTGCCCCTGCAGCACCTGTCCAACCAGGGGTGGGTGTGAGGGGAGGCACAGAAGACTCAAATCATGGTGGCATCTTTACGTTTTTGTCTTGCCCTATGTTAGCTCGGGTGTCTCCTTTTCTTTCTTTCTTTGGCCCCACTTCATACGGTTAGATCGTCTGACCTGGCCCGGCTGCTGGCTTTGCTCAGCCTGCTCAGCGGTCTGGTGTCATCCCTGGTCAGGTCTGGACCCAGTGAAGGCGACTTCTCCGCCGGCAGCCCTTGCTTTGATACCGTCTCAGCCTGCAGCTCTTCCTTCTCACCCCCGTTCCCCACCTCGGGAGTCTCCGCTTTCTCCCCCTCCAGCACTGTCATGGTCTCCTGCCCCTCAGTGCTCACTCTCTCGGCCTCCTCCTGCCTCTTGTCTCCCGCCTCTGGTTCCGCCCCCTCCTCCACCGGCGGCTCCTGCCCCCCCCCTTCCTGGGCTCCCACCTGAGCGTAGGAAGGCAGTGTCTCTTGGTAAGCTCGGGACAGGTCCCCTAGGGGCCCCGTGCCCGCCTTCTCCTCGAACTGACTGAAAGGCTTGGCAGAAAGTGGGCTGGTCTCCACCATTCCGACCTCAGTCAAAGGGAAATAGTGCGACACGATTTTCTCTTCTTCCAGCAGCTGGTAGCCCTTGGCCTTCTGGATGGAGGAGACGGCAATGGAGTGGAGGGACTTCTCGGGGATCTCCCCCAGGGGCTGCTCCGCGGGCCTCTTGAAGGCAGACCGGATTCTCTTCAGGCCCAGGTGACTCATCTCCAGAATGTTGAGGAAGAGGGACACAGAGGCCACAGACAACATGAACAGGATGAAGATGGTTTTCTCCGTGGGCCGCGACACGAAGCAGTCCACCACGTTGGGGCAGGGCCACCTGCTGCAGCGATACAGGGGCAGGATCCGGAAGCCGTACAGGAAGTAGTGGCCCACGATGAAGCCCACCTCGAAGAGGGTCTTGAAGATGATGTGGCAGATGTAGGTCCTCAGCAGGGTCCCCTCCAGCCGGAACTTCTTGGTGCCTTTGTGGCTGTCGCTGCCCTTCTTGATGCTGCCCTGCTCCGCGGCCGGCGTCACCCTGTCCCTGTCGCCACCGTCGCCCGCCGCCTGCTGGCACAGCTCCTCGGCCATGCGCTCCTTGCGCTTCTCCTCCATGCGGACGTGGTGCACGGCGTGGCCCACGTACACCAGCGACGGCGTGGACACGAAGATGATCTGCAGCACCCAGAGGCGGATGTGCGAGATGGGGAAGGCCTCGTCGTAGCAGACGTTCTCGCAACCAGGCTGCTGCGTGTTGCACACGAAGTCCGACTGCTCGTCCCCCCACACGAACTCCGCCGCCGTGCCCAGGATGAGGATCCGGAAGATGAACAGCACAGTGAGCCACACTCTGCCGATGACCGTGGAGTGCTCATTCACCTCCTCCAAGATGTTCCCCAGGAAGCTCCAGTCACCCATTTCTCACCCACCTGGAGGAGGGAGAAGGCAAGAGCTGAGCGGCCACGGTGCAATCCCCAGTCAGTCTCTCTCTGCTAACGCTCGGGGTACCTCTCTCCTTTCTGAATTCCTGGAACCGCCAGTATGTAAACAGCACCCATCGAGTGCTTCGTCTGTGCGGGCTAGGATGAGGGGACAAGGGCGGCATGAAGAATCTGCTTCCATTCGTTTCCTCATCTGCAAAATGGGTTTAATGCTAATACCTGTTCTCAGTCACTGTGCCAGTCGTGGTCGGAAAGTATAAATGAGGCAATACGTGTATAATTCCTTGAATTCCACCCCAAATCAGGGTTCATTGTTGACCGTAGATAGAAACCCATGGTTACACGGCTTTAAGTCAAGACCACAAGCTAAACTAAGCTTCAAGAGGCATAATGCTGAAGAAAACCCTCTACTGTGGGTGTCTGGGCCCCCAACAGAATTCTTGGATGTGTGAAACTGCCTGTAGCCATCTTCCTTTGACTGTGTTGAAATGTATAATGATGTGTTTGGAGGGAAGTGGAAGGAAAGAAACGTTTTTTGAACATGTACTTTGTGACAGACTTTTGACATTCCATTATTTCATTTAATTTGATCCTACTAGACTGTAGTCTTCATAAGGCTATGGGCCATGCCTGTTTCGTTTACTGCTGCATACTCAGTGCCTGTCACAGAGCCCCGCACCTAGCGAAAGCTCAAAAAGTGTTTAACCAATTTGGTTTGAACACATGAGAAAACTGAAGTTCAGAGAGGTTAAACAAACTGAGATCAGACAGTTAAATAGCAGCAGTTTTGTCTGCCTGGTCCCAAAGGCTGAGTTCTTTCCACTACACCCTGGAGATACACAGCTTTCAATCAGAACTACACAATTCTGCAACTCTTGGACTCTTAATTTATGTTTTTTCTTCTCTAGGTTGACATCTGGAAACCATTCTTAACAGCTTCACAAATGGAGAGCACTATCTTTTTTATATTATTATTATTACTCTTTTAAATCCAAAGAATGGGGAGAGTGCTTCAGGGAGGAATCATGTTACCGGGTAAGGAAGGTCTACTGAGACACTTTTAGTGTCCCACAGAATGAAAAGGCTTTAGGGTCTGTAACATGTGGCTACTTTAATAGAGCTAAAAATTTGTCGGAAAAAAAAATACCATTAAACACGATAGCATATAATGCCCCTAGCAACAGCAATGACTAATGCACATGGGATCGAACTGACGGGGGTGATGTGTGTAAACTGGGACATTCACCCAGTGCAAACCTGTACTAACCTATGAAGGACTATGATCAAAACTTCCACCTTGGGGCACCTGGCTGGCTCAGTCTGAGAAGCGTGGGACTCTTGATCTTGGGGTTGTGGGTTCAAGTCCAACGTTGGGTATAGAGATTTCTTAAATAACTAAATAAACTTAAAAAAAGAAAAAAAAAAACAAAACCCTTCCACCTCAACCTGTGACAGATGCTCCTCCAGCCTGAACATTTCTGGAGTTGCAGTGTTTCTTCATCGTGGCTCTTAGACCCGGGCAAGAGCCCACGCTGGAGATGCCGCTCTGGGCTTCTTTCAGCCATGTCTCACCCTACAGAAGCCCACAGGGGCTAAGGAATATGCCCACCACTTTAATGACAGTGATATTTGTTAAACACTTGAATGAGTGATGAAAAGTGATATCTTAAATTAGGCGTGCTTTTCATCGTTAGGAAAGGATAAACAAAGTGGCATCTTAAAGCCTCCTTCCAACCTGTGGTTCGGAGTCTGGCCAGACAGTACGTGGAAGCAGACAATGACTGCAGGCATGAGCAATGCCCAACCTATGCTCTCAGGGTACGCACAACTACTGTCTGCTTTTTGTTGAAGGGCAGAAGGTGTTGCTCCCCTTGGGGCCCCAGAAACTCCCAATTAGGTAGGGCATCCAACAGCAGTTTCTCTCCTCCTGGGAAGGTGAGAGCGTCCGTGGCTCCCCAGTCATGACTCCAGCATTGGGAAGAGTTCCTTGTAGGAATGGGGGACTGAGAGTGGGAGAGGGTCCTCTACTCAGAACCAGCTGTTCAGAATCCCAACCACATGTGTCTAGTTATACTTCTGCTTTTAACATTCCTCCAAGTGCAGTTAAATCTAGTGTTTGCCCTGTAATGAGAGGCAGCCATTTCCATCACCTTTGGGGAGGGGGGGGAAGATGGGAAACCTCACAATCGGGTAAGCAGCCCAGGCATAAATCCTATTGGTGTCAGAGCCAGGAAAACCCCAGTTTCTTATCACATGGTTCAATATAACATTCATGTGAAAACAACAATTTATGTAATTTATTCCCGTAAGATCAAGTCTGGCTTTAATGTATTCTACATCTGGTGTTGCTAATGGCTTATCCCCATTGATATATCAACTCGGTTTTGACACTCTTCCTTGTATTGTACTGTATTAGTCCTTTGGGATTTCTGTGTGTATTTCACTCATGTACCTACGTGGATGTGTGCGGCGAGCACACACTCTCAGGACTGCATGTCTATCAATCTTGTTTCTCCCTTTGAGAATCAAAAGCTCTTGGAGGGCAGGGATCATTTTGCCTTCATCTTCTGTGAACCATCATGACATAAAACAAAGACCTTCACCAAGTGGGTTCTCTATAAATACCAGTGCATGGGACTAGCAGCAATAATTTGAAATCTGAAATTCTCAATCTCTAAGTGCATATAATACCAGCATTAATTAAGGCCTAGGGAACTCCAGTCTTCTTTGCTGCAGTTAGCAGTGAGGAGACTGAGAACTTGCAAAGAAATACTAAATACCAAAAAAAGGGTAGTAAATTGATCCCAAACGAGCTGTTTTGAGGGACTGTTTTGTATAAATAAACTGGAAGGCCAATGATTCTTGACATGTGACTGTCGTGACACATATTCATAAAACACAAAGACCCTCCTGACTGCCCCATCAGTAATTTCCAAACTAAAGCCAAACAGGACTGTGTCCTTCCACACCCTACCCTGCAATGCTAGGATTGAGTGTGTGTGTGTGAGTGTGTATGTGTGTGTGTTTTAATGTCTAATTACAAGTTTCTCATGATAATGGAAGGAGAGAAATTAACTTAGGACAAAATCTTTCCAATTCCATGCTGTTGAAACAGACCAATTATACTTTTAAGAAGAGAAGCTTTAGATGTGCTAAGGGAAGGTGCCTTGGGTCCCTGACTTCTATGTGAAAATTATACTTAAGGGAAGTCAGATCAGAGTATATCCGAACAAACTTCCACTGGAACAGGGAGTAATCTAAACCAAAGGAAGACTATTTCTCTTCTCTTCTTTAAAGAGGAACAGATCTTTTACAGATAGAAAATAAACCGATGAAGTTCAAACCTCCACCACCACATCATCCCCCAGAACGTCCCACCAGAGGATTTGGTTTTAAGTAATGATTAAAATGACACCTTATGTTTGGGTATCCCTTGTCTATTTATGACTGATATACTTTTCCATATCTTATTTCAGTCCTCATAACAACCTGTGAATTAGGCCCGTGGTTCTCGGACTTGGACTTCACAGACTAGTAAAATAACAACAGCAGAATAGGGTGACCAACACAGGGCTGCCAACTCCTAATTTTGCCAAGCAAGGACATAAAAATAAGAAACGTATTAAATCATTAATTATGACTGCATCATTTCATAAAAGGGGGATTTTCACTATCATTTCATAAAAGGGGAAGTTTCACACCACAGAAAAGACATAATTTCAGAATTAAAGGCCTTTAAATTGAATACATTTACGTTGGTAAAAAATTTACTGCTTTGCTTACTACATTATTTTTACAGGCTGCTGGAAATTTCCTCTTGGACCAGAACCGACAGGTCCACAGAGTGACTGAGAACAAGTGAAGCAGGCATTTTCAGCCTCCATTAACAGATAGGAAGGCAGACCGGGAGATTAAATGAGTCAGTCTGCCAACGGGTCTCAGCTAGCGAGGACAGAGCAGGGACGTGAGCCCTGGTCTTCCAACCTTAAGCCCAGGGCCATTTCCAGTATAGCATCGTCTTCTCTTGGCCTTGCGAAGAGGCAGAACACCACACTTACATCCGGGTTAACCAGTTCCCCAAAGGATTAGATGGCCACTTACCACTCCGGTTGGTGAGGGAGTGTAAACGAGCCTCCTTTCATGTTTCTAGAGCAGCCACTTTAAAGAGCAGCTCTCCTAGAGAGCCAACAAAGGCTGCTCCCAGGAAGACTTTTGTGGTCTTTAGCTAGACCTGTTCTTGTGCGTCATGAAATGCTCCAACATTGAAACTGCAGAGCATGAACCCTCCTCTACACCCACAGCACTCAGTAGTTATTACTGTTACACCTATCACGGAGGTCAAGGGAAAAAGTGCAAAACTCTTTCATAAACACCAAATACTTGTTTTAGGTCCCTCGGGATTCCTGGAGGCATGTTAATTCATTCTGAAAAATGAGAAAACCTTAAAAAGTCAAGTTGTAGTTAGAATTTGGGCATCTCTCCTCCCCTCCCCCTCCACCATTCGTACAGTCTTTTCCCTTCCAAACCTCTGCCAACTCTCAGGCCAATTCCAAGAGGGTTTTCAGAATTGGACTCTAAGTCCAGCCATCCCAACCCAAGACCGAACCTTGGTGACAATGTTTTTCCTTTTGTAGAAACCTGGATATGGCCCTTGGATTAGGCTGGAAAAGAAGCTGGGTTGCAGGGGGGAAGGCTACAAACCAATATAACCCAAGGAAAACTTGCCAATAGGAGTAGGGTCCCCCGGAGAAATATGTGCTCTCTTTCTCTCTTGATGCTCAGCAGCAAAATGGCAACTTTGGGCTCTTTCCTTTGGCGCCTAAAAGCCCACCTCCCACTTCTCTATCCCGCCCCTACTGTGCTGCACGACTGAGCAGATATGACTGGATTGGCCCTGATGGGTAGGTTTTACTGTCCAGCAATATTTTAAGCTCCCAGCCAGACAGCTTTTATGAAGGGAGGGATGTTTGGAAAACAATAGGAGAGAGAGAGAATGGGAGAGCTGTGTTGGGCACAGAGGGGAGGAGGGTGGGGAAAAGCTGATGTGGGAAAGCTTAGATGGGCTTCTGTAGCCTCCAAAAGTGTCTTTTAGCAGCAGACCTGGCCCTCTACTGCAGAAAACCTTTGGCTTCTCTCCAGAGGGCCTGAGCCTGGGGGTATTTTCCCAGTGCCTTATAATCAGCTTAGAGAATCCTCGGGATGTAGGAACAGTAAGAGGTCACCTATATGCATCCC